TTTTTTCTTCGAGGGTTCATCCAAATTGATTGAAACTTTGCATAAATATTCTAATGCTTAAAACAAATACAAATAAAGCATCCTAAAATGTTTTTGAGCAAAGAACCAAGTAGGAAATACATTTTCAATTTTAGACTAGGGGCGACCCTAGTCAAAATCAATTTTGTCACTTTTTTCTTCGAGGGTTTATCCAAATGTATTAAAACTTTGCATAAATATTCTAATGCTTAAAACAAATACAAATAAAGCATCCTAAAATGTTTTTGAGCAAAGAACCAAGTAGGAAATACATTTTCAATTTTGGATTAGGGGCGACCCTAGTCAAAATCAATTTTTTCACTTTTTTTCTTCGAGAGTTTATACAAATTGATTGAAACTTTGCATTAATATTCTAGTGTTTAAAACAAATACAAATAAAACATCCTAAAATTTTTTTGAGCAAAGAACCGAGCAGGAAATACAATTTCAATTTTGGACTAGGGGCGACCCTAGTCAAAGTCAATTTTGTCACTTTTTTCTTCGAGGGTTTATCCAAATGTATTAAAACTTTGCATAAATATTCTAATGCTTAAAACAAATACAAATAAAATATCCTAAAATATTTTTGAGCAAAGAACCAAGGACGAAATACATTTTCAATTTTGGACTAGGGGCGACCCTAGTCAAAATCAATTTTGTCACTTTTTTCTTCGAGGGTTTATCCAAATGTATTAAAACTTTGCATAAATATTTGAGTGCTTAAAACAAATACAAATATTCACAAAAATTGAAAATTTTGTGTGAATATGATAAAATATTCTAAAATATTTTTGAGCAAAGAACCAAAGAGGAAATACATTTTCAATTTTGGACTAGGGGCGACCCTAGTCAAAATCAATTTTGTCACTTTTTTCTTCGAGTGTTTATCCAAATGGATTGAAACTTTGCATAAATATTCTAATGCTTAAAATAAATACAAATAAAGCATCCTAAAATGTTTTTGAGCAAAGAACCAAGTAGGAAATACATTTTCAATTTTGGACTAGGGGCGACCTTAGTGAAAATCAATTTTGTCACTTTTTTCTTCGAGGGTTTATCTAAATGAATTGAAACTTTGCATAAATATTCTAGTGCTTAAAACAAATACAAATAAAACATTCTAAGATTTTTTTGAGCAAAAAACCAAGTAGGAAATACATTTTCAATTTTGGACTAGCGGCGACCCTTGTCAAAATCAATTTTGTCACTTTTTTCTTCGAGGGTTTATCCAAATGTATTAAAACTTTGCATAAATATTTGAGTGCTTAAAACAAATACAAATAAAATATTCTAAAATATTTTTGAGCAAAGAACCAAAGAGGAAACACATTTTCAATTTTGGACTAGGGGCGACCCTAGTCAAAATCAATTTTGTCACTTTTTTCTTCGAGGGTTTATCCAAATGTATTAAAACTTTGCATAAATATTTGAGTGCTTAAAACAAATACAAATAAAATATCCTAAAATATTTTTGAGCAAAGAACCAAAGAGGAAATACATTTTCAATTTTGGACTAGGGGCGACCCTAGTCAAAATCAATTTTGTCACTTTTTTCTTCGAGTGTTTATCCAAATGGATTGAAACTTTGCATATATATTCTAATGCTTAAAATAAATACAAATAAAGCATCCTAAAATGTTTTTGAGCAAAGAACCAAGTAGGAAATACATTTTCAATTTTGGACTAGGGGCGACCCTAGTCAAAGTCAATTTTGTCACTTTTTTCTTCGAGGGTTTATCCAAATGTATTAAAACTTTGCATAAATATTTTAGTGCTTAAAACAAATACAAATAAAATATTCTAAAATATTTTTGAGCAAAGAACCAAGGAGGAAATACATTTTCAATTTTGGACTAGGGGCGACCCTAGTCAAAATCAATTTTGTCACTTTTTTCTTCGAGGGTTTATCCAAATGTATTAAAACTTTGCATAAATATTTGAGTGCTTAAAACAAATACAAATAAAATATCCTAAAATATTTTTGAGCAAAGAACCAAAGAGGAAATACATTTTCAATTTTGGACTAGGGGCGACCCTAGTCAAAATCAATTTTGTCACTTTTTTCTTCGAGTGTTTATCCAAATGGATTGAAACTTTGCATATATATTCTAATGCTTAAAATAAATACAAATAAAGCATCCTAAAATGTTTTTGAGCAAAGAACCAAGTAGGAAATACATTTTCAATTTTGGACTAGGGGCGACCTTAGTGAAAATCAATTTTGTCACTTTTTTCTTCGAGGGTTCATCCAAATGAATTGAAACTTTGCATAAATATTCTAGTGCTTAAAACAAATACAAATAAAACATTCTAAGATTTTTTTGAGCAAAAAACCAAGTAGGAAATACATTTTCAATTTTGGACTAGCGGCGACCCTAGTCAAAATCAATTTTGTCACTTTTTTTTTCGAGGGTTTATCCAAATGAATTGAAACTTTGCATAAATATTCTAGTGCTTAAAACAAATACAAATAAAACATTCTAAGATTTTTTTGAGCAAAAAACCAAGTAGGAAATACATTTTCAATTTTGGACTAGGGGCGACCTTAGTGAAAATCAATTTTGTCACTTTTTTCTTCGAGGGTTCATCCAAATGAATTGAAACTTTGCATAAATATTCTAGTGCTTAAAACAAATACAAATAAAACATTCTAAGATTTTTTTGAGCAAAAAACCAAGTAGGAAATACATTTTCAATTTTGGACTAGCGGCGACCCTAGTCAAAATCAATTTTGTCACTTTTTTCTTCGAGGGTTTATCCAAATGTATTAAAACTTTGCATAAATATTTGAGTGCTTAAAACAAATACAAATAAAATATTCTAAAATATTTTTGAGCAAAGAACCAAAGAGGAAATACATTTTCAATTTTGGACTAGGGGCGACCCTAGTCAAAATCAATTTTTTCACTTTTTTTCTTCGAGAGTTTATACAAATGGATTGAAACTTTGCATTAATATTCTAGTGCTTAAAACAAATACAAATAAAATATTCTAAAATTTTTTTGAGCAAAGAACCAAGCAGGAAATACATTTTCAATTTTGGACTAGGGGCGACCTTAGTCAAAATCTAGTTTTTCACTTTTTTCTTCGAAGGTTTATCCAATTACAGTGAAACTTTGTGTGAGTATACTAATATTTATACAAAACAGTTTTAAATATCTAAAGCAAGAAATGTATTCTATATGTCGTCAGACCCAAATTTTATAAATTTGGTTGTACATTCAAAAACAACGTGACTTAAAATTTTGTCCAAAAGATGATTTTTATTAATTCAGAAATGTGTGACCTAAAGATTAGAATGCTCATACAAACTTTTACTGTATTTGGATTTATCCTTGAAGAAAAAAGTGAAAAACTAGATTTTGACTGGACCTGTCCCAAGTTCATAATTGAAAATGTTTTTCATACTTGGTTCTTTGCTCAAAAAATTTTTTTTTCATCCAAAGCTAATTTAAAAAAAAAATCACAGAGAACTTTTAATTTGAAAAATTCCTAAGAAATGAAAGTTTTTTGCTTTTTCTGAAGCAACGGCTGTTCCTACCTTGCCCAAAAACAATACAGCTCTTTTATAGAGCAGCACGGATCAAATGTAAAAAACTAGAAGTCTGTACGATGTCTCGTTATTGAGATTAACTTGCTTGTTTGCTTGTTTGCTTGCTTACAGAAAGCATATTTTGCGATTTTCTCAGCAATGCCGCAACCAATTTGAAATCTGTTTTTTGCAAAAGATGTGAAATTTAAGGCACAAACTTTTCATCTCTGAACATTTTAAACTATCTTGCTCCATATCCTCACAAAATTCAAAATACTGATTTTTCAATCTGAACAAAACCAATAGATTCACACGTGAAAACGGTGTTTTTTGCTTTTTCTGAAGCAACGGCTGTTCCTACCTTGCCCAAAAACAATACAGCTCTTTTATAGAGCAGCACGGATCAAATGTAAAAAACTAGAAGTCTGTACGATGTCTCGTTATTGAGATTAACTTGCTTGTTTGCTTGTTTGCTTGCTTACAGAAAGCATATTTTGCGATTTTCTCAGCAATGCCGCAACCAATTTGAAATCTGTTTTTTGCAAAAGATGTGAAATTTAAGGCACAAACTTTTCATCTCTGAACATTTTAAACTATCTTGCTCCATATCCTCACAAAATTCAAAATACTGATTTTTCAATCTGAACAAAACCAATAGATTCACACGTGAAAACGGTGTGAATATAATAATATTTGCTAGCTCATTTGTTTGAAATCCACCGAATAACCCCACTGGATATGCCACTGTTATTTTCTACAAAATAACAATTGTACACAATTGATTATCAAATTCACGTTAAATTGCTAAAGACCAAGCTCAATTGAATGTATATGTACGTAATCACTGTAATTATAATCCTTCTAAGAAAAAGCGATTTGTAAGCAACCGCAGTGCTACAAAATATCCATACTCAAAATGACTCTATCTGCATTAATTATGGGGCAGTCGTAATAACTTTACAAAGCTGTTTGAATCTTCCTTCGTGATTCACGCCATCAAACAATTTCATAGAAAAGGAAGTGGCAGGAAGAAGACAAAAACAATTTTTCACGTGTCAATTTCACTTACTTGCTTCCATCTTCTTTCAATTTCTTTATGAAGGGGGTCATTCATAAATGATGTTTTGGTTAGGATCTCTCTTGTTGCGAATAATCCTGATTTGTCCTCAAAATGTCATGAATATGTTTATCAACCATCTCCAGCTCAAAATTATGGACCTCTTTATATTCCACAGAAAAGGAGACAAAATAATAGCAAGACATCCCCAAAAAATAAACTACATTCACTACACACACACACATCCAAAGCTGATTAAAGGCACAAAATTAAAGTCATGAAAAGAAAAGAAGAAGAAAAGAAAAATTTCAATTAAGCCTTGCATGCACAAAAATGATTATTCGAAATGAAAGGAGAAATTAATGACCATTTTTCTTTCCTTTTTTATTCTAGGTGGCAGTGGATTTTTAGGGCAGCATATCGTACGTCTGATTGAGGAGCGTGATCCAACAGTGAAGGAAATTCGTATTGTGGACTTGCGACCATACGAAAATCGATTAAGTAAATAAGAATGAGAGAAAGGAATCAGGCAAAAATTCGAAAAGTCGCGCACGAGAAAAATTAATTTTCTGAAAAGGAAAGACGGAATTATTTGTGGCTAATCGAGGCGCAGTTGAATTTTTTCCTCATTAAATTAATTTTGCATATTTTTGGTAATTTTCCACAATATTTCACAGACCATCCTGAAAAAATAAAAATAACGAGCGTTGTCGGCGACATTTGTGATGCATCAGCCATCGAACATGCATTTGAAGGTGTTACGTGCGTATTCCATTGTGCTGCATACATCAGCTTCCATTATCCTCCTAATATTGATGAATTAAATCGTGTTAATGTGAAGGGTAAATTTTATAATTTTCCATTATTGACTAGAGTGTTAATGACTGCTATGGGCTGTTATGATGAATGACATTTATGTGTGCTTAATGTGACAGAAATATGAATTAATTTTCAAATATTTTTAAAATATTATGCGTGATGAATTATGAATTGTAAATTAAAATGGTGATAAATGTTAATGTGACTAGAGGATGTGTGCGATAAGTTTTGAGATAATGAATGGTTTTGTGAGGTTGGACTAGGTTATTAAGTTACACAAGGTAATAAAATGAATTCGTGGTAGCACCAGAAATTAGCCTCCAAGATTAGATTCTTGGTAATAAGCAATGTGTAGATAAATCAGCCTTTCTTCAAGATCTTTATGGCGGAGACTGAAAATTTGTAACTTTTCTAAAGAAACGTGAGTTCAATTCCCATCAGAATCCAATATTTCAATAATTAATAAATGCTTGTCAAAATGACATGAATTTGTACGACGCTTAAAAAATTACTGACTTTTAATCAGAATTCTTATGCTCACTTGCTTACTTCGCTGGTCGTAAAGATCAATTATAATTTATGACCTCCCTTAGTTGACGCCTACAACTAGCTCTATCGCTAGCTACCGTCTGTCGATTTCCAAAACCAAGTGCTATATTGTCTCTATCAGCAGCTTTCTTCCACGAGTTCTTTGGCGGTCCACGTGATCTCTTGCCGTCTATAAAGTCAGATTTAAAGATAAAAAATTCATACAGAAACTTACAAAAATTGAAAATTATACGCTCAATCTAATACAAGGTTGATAGACACCACACGCCACCCCCTAGCCTTAAAAATTCAATTCCATCGATTATGACAACTGCCAATTTCAATTAAAATTTCATAAATGAAGCTAAATGTATTCAATGACATCCTTTAAATGACTCATAAATCCTTTGTGCATCCATAAAAAGAAATTATCATCCATAAAAAATATAAAAACAATGCACATACATCTACTCCCCCCCACCCACATACACATGGCATGTCTAGCCGCATAAAAATGCTCAAACGCATATGTCGCCATCAATTTTTATTTATAATTAACAATGTTTATGGACCAATTTTTTTATTCTGTGTGTTCTCTGCTTTGCTCCTTCCATTCCGATATTTTATTTTCAAATGACCACGTATATTTAAATGTTGCAACATAAATTTGAACTGCGAGTGAGTAAATTGTGGGGATTGTTCTGTACAACATTTTTTTTTTATTTTCGTGGAGGGCTACAAGAGGTTAAACATAAAAATAGCTTTCGATAATTTTCAATGTGTCACGAGGGAGGAGGGTATGGGAGGAAATGAGGGACACACAAAAAAATAAAAAAAAAATAATAAAAACTAACAAACATTGACGGCAGCCGCAAAACAACAATTGAAAATTACATAAAGTACATTGAATAAATTAACATATTATGGCCAAATTAATTATATCCGACATCATTCGTTTGTTGTTACGTCCTCTTTGAGCGTATGTATGTTTATGCGTATAAATGTTTGACATTTATACAATGAGAACTTTAATGGGCAGGTCGAATCACAGAAAAATTATTATCAACAGAAAATCTGAATAAAATTCTTTGTGTTGAACATTTTTTATACCTTTTTATTTTTGGAATGCGGAAAGGGATAGGTGTGCTTGGTTTTATTTGGTTGTTTTGTCTTTGATCTGTCTGAATGATTACTTGAATGTTGACTCTTCAAGACTTATGAGTTGGTTTACTGAAGTTAAGTTTTATAAACCACCACTTTTGATTTAAAAAATGCTAGCGAGCCTCATTTTAATGATAACTTTGTTGTCAGCTTCATATCAACCATGGACGGTAAGGGGATCGTTAAGCACGTTTTAAATTTAACTAATTTTTAAACTGCACAGGGGGACCTCTGGGGTCTAAAAGCCTCAGTTCTACTATATTTTAGAAGTCTCTAAGAGTCTGAAAATAACGATTTTTAATAAATAATAATTTCTTTTACTGCCTTAAAAAAATCCACTTACCAAAACTGCGTCTAAAATCTACAAAAATGTCAACAAATGTCAACTAGACTTCCATTTATTTCTGCCAAAGAGAAAGAAGAAAATTTCCATTCTAAAAATAAATTCACTTTTTTCGGTTGTCGAGGAACAAAACAGAAACAAAAGCGAACGCAAAACAAGTCCAAAAACATAATAATATTTGCTTATTATGATTCTTTTTACAGGTAAACTGAGCGGGTCGATGTTGATTTCATTTCCCAAAAATATATATATTTAATTTAAATGAAAGAGTTTCTTTTGACTACTTTCATGTCGCAAGAGAACACAAAAATAAATTAATACAAGGAAATGGAAAGATTATCGTGGGAGTTAATTGTTATTGAATTATGAACAACATTGCTGAATTTTATTTTTAGAATCAATTTTGTTGCTGTTAATTTACTTTTTCAACCCATTGAAATGGTAAAATTAAGTTTTTTTTGGACATTTAAAAATTGACAAATTTCACCCAGATGATTTGCAATTTTTTCACTCAATTTATTGAATTTTTTTAATGCCCACATAGGATCACATGTTTATGATTATTGCTGAGTATTGTAATTATGGATGTAGCAATTGTGAAGATTGGATTACCTACATTATTAACAAATGTTTGTTTTTGACTGGATTTAAAAAAAGGGGGGGGGGGGGGGGAGTGGGGGGGGGGGGGTAGTTAAAAATTTGGTTAATGATGATGTTGTTTTAATCCGCTGTGAAGAGTAGGGCGATTGCTACAGGGGCGTAGCCAGAAATTTTTTAAGGGGGGCCCATTTTCGAAAATTAAAAAACCGTTATTTTGTATCCTTAAATCTATATTCATTCTTCATAAGTTTAAATATTTAATTCATTATTCATACATTAAATTTAATTTTTCAAGGCTGATTTTGACATTTTTTTCATCACTTCCTCTACATTAACTGGTTCTTCTATATAAATACTTAATAAAACAATTATCAGATTTTCGTAAAGGGGAGCCGGGCCCCCTATGCCCCCCCCCTGGCTACGCCCCTGGATTGCTAGCTATTGCCGCAAGCTCACTGAGCTAAAAGCCCTGCTGAGCCGCTTCTGTACGAAAAGACGATTGCCAAGCAGCACTAGGTTTATCAGGTTTTTTTCTCTCCGGTGGATTGTAGAATACAGCTTGTTGGTACATGCATCAATAATTAATCTAATTCAAGTTAATTTTCAATGAAAACTATTGACAACTAGTTTCCAACTTCCTCATCAATATAGAACTTCTTATTATCTCAAATACTCAAGGAATAATTTATAATTTTATTGACTTCACATTTAAACAATTATTTGACTTCATATTTCCATAATTTGATTTATCATTTCTTCTTACAATTTGACTGAAGATTTTCTGAATTTTCTTCCTGAAAATCCTCTTCTCAGAAAAAGAGATTTGACAAAAAAAAACAATAGAATCAGATGAGAAATGAGGGATGGAATATTATAATCATTTTAAATCCCACCCAAAAAAATAATTTTAAATTAATTATTCACATCGTTGCATAATATAATTGAATTTTTGTTTTTATATGACTGATAATAATTGAGTTTTGTAATAATCAAATAGGAGCATTTTTGTAATTCAATATGATAATTCTGTGCCTTTTCATTATTGATAATTATTATCATTATTTGTTTACATTGAATAAAGTGATGAAATAAAATATCATAATAATGATCAAATTGATGCCTTAGGTATCAAAACACGTTTATTATCAATGATTATTGTTATTTGATATAATTTGGGTTGTGAAATTGCAATGATAATCTAATGTTGACAATTACATGTTATTGGAGATAATAAGCACAAACAATGTAATTTAAATGGAAATTGGATTGAATTATGGATTTTACATTATATTTGGCTGATAATTTAAAGGAATCATGTAATACAATTTGATATTTTTTGCTTAGTTTTCTCGATTGATGCTAGAGATGACTTCCATGAACAGTACGAATGAATTCTTATTCAATGGATTTAAGAGAGTTTTCAACAAGCATAATTTACAATCTACAAATTATTCAACCGAAATTTTTTTAATTAACCAATTTTCATCAAATAATAATCTCAATAGCCCTCAAATCCTGCCAAATAACTGATAAGAACCTTTACAATAATCCCTCAATTTTCTTACCAACAAAAACAATTATTTTCTGAAAAGTTCAACAACTGCCTATCAAACCGTACAGAAAGTAATCAAATGGAAAATGAAATCCTTCAAAAAAGGGCAACCGAAAAAAGAAAGAAACAACTGATAATCCGTTAATCAATTTAGAAACATATTTTGATTTCATTTTATTAATTTCAATAATTCTTTTTATATCAACTCAAAAAAAAGAAGTCTCCGCACAGAAAATTGTATTTTAATCTTTACAAGCACCAGCGAGATATGAAAAATGGTGAGGAGGGAAAGAAAAATTTCCATTTGACAAGCAATTTCCATTATAAATTATTTCATATTATCATTTTGAATGTGATGGAATGAAAGATAGAAATTGAATTTTAAATTTTTTTGTGTTATAAAAAAAATTTGAATTGAGAATTGTCGGGGATTTTTAATATTTTTATTATTTCCGTCGAGATAAAATTATGGCAATGGAATGAGCAGAAGATTTCATTGTCAAATCTAAATAATTTCTCAATTATCAAGCAACCGAAAGATAAAAGAATTAATAGCTTAAATGGGGTTTTTTTGAGATGATTAAAATAAATTCGAGATTTGAGTGAACTTTTTATTTCAATTTGGTCACTATTTGATGGGGTTGCTGGATATCGTCTCTGGTTCTAAATCATATTTGGCTTTAGAGTAACAAGGATGGAGGTAGTTGACCTTTGTAGACATTGATCAAGCTCCCCCGAGTAGCATCAACAACAGCAACTGGTTTTACGCGGACGTCATGGCATCATCAAGTAATGAATGGTTTCATGGAATCACCCCATGAAATAATGGGGCAAAATTGAGCGTGTAGACGTCTTAGCGTCGCCAACAAGGTAAAATTGCGGTGTGACGTGCTTTTTCCTACTTGATTGTGCCTTGACGTCAACGTAAAACCAGTTGTTGTTGGTGCTACTCGGGTCCATTGATGAGCTTTCAAGTAACCTTATCATATTAGCGTCAGGAATTCACTATAAAATTCAAATCTGATGTAAACTTAGCCAATTTCAATAGAAATATCACAATCCGATCCAGTACAGTCAATGCAGCACAGAAAAAATCATCCAAAGCTGCATTTTTATTGTTGTTAAATAAACAAAAACATCATAGATATAGAAAATTTTAATTCATGAATCAATATATATATGAATGAGAATTGATGCTGTTCCAAATCTAAGCTGTAAGCTATTTGTATGTGTAAATGTGGAATTTTATGTGGTCAGATTTAGAATAAAGGACGCGAATGTGAAAATATCGAGGAGATTATTTTAGAGAACTAGAATTGCAGTGGATAATTGTGGATGCCTTTTATTTGTGTACATACATACAGTGGACTCTGTCATAGAACAATTTTGCGGTCGAGAATGTATTTCAATATTTTTCAGCTTTGAAAATGAAATAAATAAATACGAGTATATGGACAGGCAGTATGTGTGTGTATATCTGATAATCAATCTATGAATGTTACAATAATGACTCTTTGATAGCACCGCATTCAATCCCTAAAATCCGCATTCATACATTCATTTAGTCAGTTTGGTCATGTGGCTTGAGTCGAGGGGTAAACAGCATGCTGGGGAAAATTTGTGATGTGAAATTTGAAACAATTACATTAGGTTGGTTTTCTAAAACCACGTAGAAATGAGTTGACTCAAGGGGATAACAACCTGATGGAAAATTTCTCATCACATTTTTACCCCCCTGGTCCCAGTCATTTCCATGTTGTTTAGCAATGGATATACATTTTTCTATAACAATATCTCTTAATTGTTGAACCACTTTACCTTTCTAATTCACCTCCTGCCTCGTTCCTAATTGTCATGGATTTTTGTCAACCCACTTCACATCGAGTTTTGTGGAATTGCTCTTCATTATTATCATTTTCATCCACACACATGATGTTGATGATGACTTTTTCACATTCAGACGAGGAAAAACTCTAAAATGTGTGCACTGGTCGTTGACTAATTGACCAATTAGATGATATGTCCAAAAGAGTAAACCTTTCACACACAGTCAGAGATAACATTAGAAATGTACCTTTAATAATTCATATTTAATTGTCGACACATTAGTGAATGAAGCGGAAACCACAGGAAGTTTTACTTCTTTTATACAGCGTTTGTCCTTTGTTTTGTGTAGTTTTTGAATTTGGGGATAATGAGTCATTAGAGTTGTGTGTATGAACTTTATTCAACGTTTTGAAAAAAATTTTTTTTTTGAACTGCATGAGCATGAAGTTGTAAGCTATATTAGGGATTAATAGTTTGACATGTAAATCACTCATTCGTGTTAATGAATTTAGCGTTTGTTGGAACTTCTTATTGGATAGCCCAATACTACACGTTTACAAAAATAAGAGTTAAATCTTCCAAATCCACAACAATCCAACTCGATTCTGTTTTCCTCGAAACAATACAAATTTCCTCTACTACTATAGATTCATCTTCATATTGTTCACTGGTTGAAAACTTTTTAACAACTTTATGCAAAACATCCAAAAAACTTCAAAATCATTTCAAATATCAACAGTAATGAAAATCCTAGAAACAATCCAACAAGTCCTCCAACATCCGAAATAAAGTATTGTAGCTTGTAGGTGACATAGTGTGTAGTCATGCTAATTTGGCTTGTTTCGAATCTCATTTGAAGATAAATAGATGGAAAACCGGATCTGCAATGAAAATAATTATTATTTTTGAATCGTTCTCTAGTTTGCACTCGGGGGTGGTCACCAAGGAATGAACAAGTGTCGGGGATATTATTGATCGACCACACCGACTCCCCCATTCCAATAATTCAGCTACACTTTAAATACAAATCAGAATTTCATACTTTTGATTTAAATCTCTTTCCGTTAATCCATAAATTATCTGTGTACAGGAAGGCATGCAATCACACGGATAGTCAGGATATTTTTCTTGATTTTCTTCATTTTGATAAAAGCTGTTTGACCAAAGTGAAAGTACGGAATCATAGCAATTTTTATCATCATAATCGCAGACTTTTAGATCATCTGTTCTAGGCATTGAGAACTCGACACAATTACATTTTGATAATGTGTAGTTAATCATGCATTCATGCTCACAATTATTTTTTGTGTATGATTTAAAAAATTTCAGCTTCTTTTCGGCTTCAAAGTAGCAGCCTCGTTGTTCTGGTGAGAATTGCTTTAAAGTTTCATCATGCTTTAAGATTACTGCATTTAAGCTAATTGCTATGTCTGAATCAAACTCTATGTTTGTTGAAAGATCAAAACTCGATGGAACTTCATTCGGTAGATGAAAAAGTAATTTATACTCAAAGGTACAAAGGTCAAATTCATCATTGAATTGCTCTCTTGTTCTGATGAATATCTCCAATCGTTTTGTCGCCCTTAGTGGCTTAATTAGTTCATTATTTGTTGCATATCCTTTTTCAAGTGACCATGAATTTGGCTGTTCAACTGACATATAATCCACAAAATCAGGTTTTTCATTTACTGCCCATGAAGCGTTGAGATTGCGCTTTTTATAAGAACTAAAGTCTTCACTTATGTCTTCAGGAAATATCGATGAAAAGTTGAGCATATTAAATGTAAAACAATATCCAAAATTTGTAAGTGTTCTGGTGAAAGCTTGATCACAATTATAAAGAATAGGATATCCGATGAAAGTGCAATAATAAAAGATATCTTTAATTTGTGGAGTTGCTGCATCAAAAAGTTCCTTAAAACTTGTGTTTAAACTTTTTAATATTGAATTGTGCGCTGAACCAACCTAGTACGTCAAAATCGTAGCAAAAAGGCGTATTATATTCTCTATTTACATTCCTAAACAATTCAGCTTTAACACCAAATGGAGGACAAATAGTAACAGCTGGAAAAGGAATTGCTCGGCTGTTTACTAATTTTTCGTTAATCAAAATTTCTGGTGTGACTTTCAACTTTATGTAACATTCTCTGACGTAATAAATTAGTTCAAAAAGTGAGAAGCACAGCATGATTATCCATAACATTTTCACAATATTTGATCTTCCATAAGCCATTCGAATAAATGCTGATGTTAAATCAAAACTTCTTTCAATATCCATTAAAGGAAATAGCTTAATAGGTTACAACTTTTGAAATGCTTAGCTGCAAAATATAACAATCAGTCGAGCTAATGCATTTTTATGGAAAGTGACGCGTACTGGAGTGAAATTAATTTCTATATAGAGTTCCATTAGAATTATAATTAAAATTATAATTATTTGAAAAAAATTTTAATTTCATTAGGATTATGATAGCTTTTAATAATGTAAATATATAGGGCGTACTGAGGGGAGGAGAGGGTAGGGTAGGCGTAGTAGACGAAAATAGTTTCAGGTAGTCAATGCTTTATTGCTCTTAATCTCGTCCTTTTACTAATTTTAAGTTAACAAGAGGGATTAAGGTTAAAACTAGAATTTTTAAGAAGCAATCTCGACCTGAACAGAATCCTAGTTTTTAACAGAAAATCAGTTTCAGTCCAAAGGTATTGGTTGATTAAACTCAAAGCTTATTTATTACAAACTTAATTAATGATTCTTTATGAATTTAAATTAATAACTACGCTGTTTATTCTTCAGTGATCAAAAGCAGATTAAATATGTATATGAAGGGACAAACAACTATTCAAGGGGAAGTCAACTAATTGCAGTTGTATACATAATTTGAATATAATGTTACCGTAAATATATTCTCTGTCCAAAAGTTTATTTGTTGATGTGTACGCTCCTGGCTACAATAAGTGCCCCACTAGAGTAACATCTGATAAATTACATATGCATTTGTTGAAGGAACTAATGAGTTTTATTTCACCACAGAGAATTGTTGATTGTTAAATGACGATGGAATTTTATTTTAATAAATTAAAGTGCCAGAGTGCAATCGTGCACAAGATCAACAATTTTATTGCATATATGAATAATTTGTAGCACAAGAAATAATTTCCAAGACTCAGACATTTATTTGATGCTCCATTCCTTAATGAAGGAATTTCTATCTTTTACATCAGACACTCAATGCCACTTTCATGCTTCACTACAACCAATAGAAAGTTCAAATTATTTAATCTAGATCTTCTAGATCAACAATTGTTAAATTTGATTCAGTTCTACTCGAAATTACGCTAATTTCATTTACAACATCAAATTCATTTTCATTTAAAGGCATGCGAAATAATTTTGCGATGATTTTAAACATTATAGCGAAAAAATTCAGCACCATTTCAAACATTGAGAGCAATGAAAATCCCAAAAATAATCCAGCAAGTCCTCCAATATCACAAATAAAATTATGCAGCTTATAGGTTACATAGTGAGTAGTTATGAGAATTTGGCTACTTTCAAAGTTCATATTCAAAGTTATAGATTTGGTTCCAATTCTAGAAGAAAGAAAAAATCATTAAAAACCAAAATTATGTAAATATCTCATTCATACGATTCAGTCTCCCGATCCACTTCCTTTTCTAAAAACTCATACTTTATCTGTGTACAAGATGGCATGCAATCACACGGATTGTCAGGATATAACTCTTGATTAGTTTCATTTGTATAAAAGCTGATTGGCCATCCTGCAAAAATATTATAAAAGCAAATGGATAAATCATCATCGCACATTTGTATGTCCTTTGTCCTGGGCATTGAGTACTCGACACTGTCACACTTTATTAACGTGTAATTAATCATGCATTCATGCTCACAATTATTGTTCGTGTAAGATTTGAAAAATTTCAATTTCTTTTCGCCTTCAAAGTAGCAGCCTCGTTCTTCTGGTGGGAATTGCTTTAAAGTTTCATCATGTTTCGAAATGTGTGCACTAAAACTAAGACTTTTTGATGATCCAAACTCTTTTGCAAGATTTAAACTTGATGGAACTTCAGTTGGAAGATGAAAAATAACTTTGAAGACATTCTCACAGATGTCAAAATCATCATGAAACTGCTGTTTTGTTCTGGTCCGTAATTTTTGTGTTAAAGTCGCTCTGAGAGGCTTAACTAGTTCATTTTTGCTTGCATATCCTTTTTCTAGTGACCATGCATCAAGTGTCCATGCATTTTCATTTGCTTTACTGTAAAAAAGTTGCGATTCTTTGTCATTCTCATCAACAACTTCTTCGACCCAACCTTTAAAATAGGGCTTCTTATATGAACTCATGTCCTCAGTTATGTCTTCAGGAAATATCGAAGAAAAATTGAGCATATTGAATGTAAAGCAATATCCAAAATTTGTGAGTATTCTCGTGTAAACATGATCACATTTAAAATAATAAGGATATCCAGAGAGACCGCAACTGTCGAGGACGTCACTTATTTGTGGAGATGCTGCATCAAATAGTTCCTTTAAACTTGTATTTAAGCTTTTTAAATAAAGATCTTTTACTGAACCTAGAGCATTAAAATCATAACAAAAAGGTGTTGGATATTCTCGAACCACATCCTTTAATAGCTCCTTTTTGACACCAAATGGAGGGCAAATCGTTACAGCTGGAAATGGAATTGCTCGGCTGTTCACTAGCTTCTCGTTAATCAAAATTTCTGGACTGACTTTCAACTTTTCATAGCATTCTTTTACGTAATAAAAAAGTCCAAAAACTGAAAAGCACAGCATGATTATCCATAAGATTTTCACATAATTTGATCTTCCATTTTTAAATGACGAAGTTAAATCAAAACTCTGTTCAATCATTTAATTTGATAGTCAATTTTATTGGTTGCAATATTCTTGTGTGCTTTAATGCAAAATGATCATACTTTTCATAACTTGAGCTAATGCATTTTAATGAAAAGTAACAGACTAATGATTAAATTTATATCCAAGGTTATTTCAATGCACCCCATCTTAATTTCATTTTAGACAGTTCTTCTAAAGCTTTGCTCCAAGAATTTTTTTTAAAAATTAAATTTTTTTGCAATAAACCGAGATCATTCCAAGACTTTTGAATTTTACAAGCATTCCAGAAAATAATTGAATCCTGCAAAATCTAAAATGATGCCTAATTGTTATGTCACAGTCCTTTAAAAGTGAGAACGACTGCAATAAGTGCACCAAATTGCTTATTCGTTTGATGGAGTGGCTAATGACTTTCATGTCACTGCCGTGAATTGTTGATGGCTCAAGTTTCCTGGAATTTCGTTGTAATAAATTAAAGTGACTAAGTTGCACGATTGTAAGGAGTTGCTCATAAATTACGTTCATCAAAAACAGGAGTTTTACAGCCCTTCACATGTGCAATGTTGTGAGAACCTTTGGCATATCGATTAAACTTTATAGAATGATTAATAGATCCAGGGGCGTAGCCAGGGGGGGGGGGCATAGGGGGCCCGGGCCCCCCCTACGAAAATCTGATAATTGTTTTATTAAGTATTTATAGAGAAGAACCAGTCAATGTAGAGGAAGTGATGAAAAAAATGTCAAAATCAGCACGAAAAATTAAATTTAATGTATGAATAATGAATTAAATATTTAAACTTATGAAGAATGAATATAGATTTAAGGATACAAAATAACGGTTTTTTTCGAAATTGGGCCCCCCCTTTAAAAATTTTCTGGCTACGCCCCTGAATAGATCTATCTTGATGGGATTCGTACAAACGTCTTCAGCGAAGGTTAATATTTGATCAACCTGTAAGACACAAACGCATTCAGCACCGTTTAATCGTTGCTACACTATTTGGCTTATAAAACAACTTCAATTATTAAATTACAAAATGTTTTCCTGATCCCCTTGAACTCTCTGGCAACGGTCATACTCTAAACTATGCCATCCATCCGCTTTAAAATTAGAACAGCATTAATGATGAACCTTTATTAAAATCAACAGCATTATTTTGTTAATATTGTCATACTAGAAATACATGTAAAGTTTTAAAAACCAAGCATCGAACATCAAGCAGCACATATAATATCGTGTCTGTATCTCGAAGTAAACCACCCCTAACTTACAGTCAATTCATTTTTCTGTATCAAAACAAATGCGAAATTCATATAAATAAAAGTAAATTAAAATACTCAAGCCAAGCAGCAGGGCAAGCAGTTAGAAAAAAAAGCCAAACAAAATAGATTTGAAGAAGAAATGAAACAACTTTGGTTTGCTGGTAGAATGACGACAGTAAAATGTAATCATCAACCAGCACAAGCAGCAAAACGGCAGTAACATTCGTTTGCTAAAGCCAACAGCAACATAGAAAGGAAAAAAGGAATTGGACTGTAGAAAAAAAACAGAGAAGAGACGAAAGAGCTTAAATGGTGTGGGAAAATATTTAATCTGGTGCAGATACATCGACCATAACATAAACTTAGTGTACTTCAAACATTAGACACATCCTTTACTATGAGCATATATGGATGTTACATTCGAAAGGACAATCACAAACATTGTAAATCCTTTATTTTGATGACGGTCTGCATAGCTTTTTTTCTGTTTCTGTTTTTTATGGTCATTTCTTTTCATTTCGGGTCGTCTTGGAATTGACTTGTCATGTGTGTATGTCTGTGTGTATGAATGTTATTTTTGCAGCATGTAAACATCCAGCAGTCAGTCAATAATAGTGAGAAAAACTTTCTTATTTTTTTACTTTCTCTTTTTCATTTCCATTTTCAATAAATCCATTTCATGATCCTCCCTTAATGCTCCTCATTTTGTGGATGTGCCTACACACGCAAAAATTATTGGATTGGTTTCATTTCAATAATGTGCTTGTGTCCATTTTTTTTGGGGAAATAACACACAAAAGGAACGAGAACGATAATTGATCTGTGTATCAGGCATAATGTGCCAAATCTAATCTACACCAGCACTGCATTGGTCTCATTGTAAGTATTGTGTCTTATTTTATTTTGTAAGGTCTTCATTATTATTATCTTTTTTGTTTCATTTACGGTTGATGCTCTTATATTCAGTTTTAGTGGACATGATTGTAATTTTTTGGGGGATTTTATTTCGGTTGGATCAGGACGTCTTCAATTGTCTGTCTTAGTTGATTTTGTGGGTTTTTGTGATCTGTTAATTTATTTTGAGATAAGGCATCACTTGGGTCTTGAGAAGTCTCCAAGAAGTTTTCAATATGGCTACTTCTTGATACCAAAACTTCCGAAGTCGATTAATCAAAAGTCGGTTAAACGATCAAAAATCCGGTGTCAAGCTGGCGAAATTCACTATGGATTTAATTCGAAGCAGGAGCGTACCCAGATTTTTTTTTTTTGGGAGGGGGTTTGAAATTTTTTTTCTATGGACGGGAAATTTTTTGGTGGAGGGTTAGATTTTTTTCTCAAAAAGCCCTAGCAAAATGAAGAAATTATTCAAAAAGGGAGAGGGGAAGTGACTTTTCTTTGGCTACGCCCCTAAATCGAAGCCAGCATCATGCCAGCTTGGCGCTTTCTTTATATTCGATTAACCGACATGTGTTAACGGTACAATAGATGCTATCATCGATCAGGATCGTAGTGCCTCCAGCTCCGCAACGTGAAGTAACACATTGCTAGGCTGGAACCCTCTCACATTATTATTAACCGACTTATGCTATTCGGGAACTGTTTAATATCTTAAAACCTACTCAATGATGTATCCTTGTTGTTATCCCCTTGCTTAAAACTAGTCAGAAATATTAAACTCTAAAAAATGCGCAAACCCAAACCGTCAATCCAGTATTCTCAACTCATTTTGATGATTATTATATTGGATGTGATAAGCATTGAGCATAATATTATTGTCATATTTATATGAATATATTGTAGTTTCAGGCTCCGTTATTGCCTATTTCAGCAGATACTTACGTGAACTAAATTCTGAGATAAAGCATTTCACAGTCGATAAATTTATCATATCACCAAAGTATATAATACGGATGTATGTACACATAGTCATCCATTTTCAGCCTATTTTCATTGTACCTTGAATTATGACCTTTTTTTCGGTCATTTCTTTTCTTTTCTTTTCTTCTTTTCACTTTTTTAAAAAATAAATTTTATACATGCACAGAGGGATGAACTAGAGATAGATTTGCAAATAGATTGTGAAATGACCGTTCATGGAAGGCCAAAAAAGAAAAGAAGAGAAAAAAAAATTTGATAAATTTGATTTTTTCCCTCTTTGCCTTCAATTTTCGAATAAACTATATGTGTATGCGTATATCTGTTCATCATTCAAAATACATGAGCTACATTTTCATTTTATATTGCTCTACTTTATCTCGACTCACTCTACATTTACTAAAACTCCTACTTTAATACGCATACCTATCAAAATAAGAATGAGAAAAGAAATGGACAAGAAAAAGTTTCTATTTTTTTGTGCTGCTGCTGCTCCTACTCCCATGTCTTTATACATATAGTGGAGATAAAAATATATTTGCTGCCACATTTCATTCACATCATTTCAACTTTTACCTCTCATTTTTCGTAGAAGACAAATTTTTCATGGGTGTAGGGGTGTTAATGTCGATATTTTGTCTGTACTTTGTCTTTTGGAGCTGGTGTGGTCTTTTGATTTATTGCTCATTGCTTTCTTTGTGATATGCTTATCATATCATGTAGGATTTGGCAATATTCGGTGTTTTGATAAGGTCAGCAAAAATCATGGGATTTTGCAAGTAAATGTACAATTATTGGGGTGGAAAAGGTAGCTATACACTGAAATTGGGCATTTATTATCCCAACACATGTGCTTTGGCATACTTGTGTCCAACAATTCACTTCTCCTTAATGTTTTAACTCCATTATCCATTTTTGTCAACTATTGAAGACTTCTTACATCAAAATACATCAAAAATCATTACTGAATCATTTTCTAATTCTAATTTAATTCTTCCAGCGCAACATATATGGGCCAAGGATCATTTTCCATAATTATAAATCAAACTGAAAACAAGGCAAAAACGCCAGCAACTGACAGTCAATTCATCATTCCTGGATTTCCAGCAACAAAGTTAAGAGCTGAAAAAATGGTCCTTTCATCATATGGACGAAAGTTGGCAAATGGCGAAGGTAAGGTTACCATAAAGATTTTTTATTTATGTAAGTTCTATCTAAATATCTTATGGTATTAAGTTTCTAAAGACGAGGACAGTGAAAATACTCGGATGAATGTTATCAACTTCCACTTTTTACGTTTTTTCTTCTTTTTTTTTATATTGTTATGAGGTTTTAAGTCCCAAAAGATAGAGAGAGGTCGAAATGCGTACGCACATTCGTATGAGCTAAGGAAAAAAAAATATGTATTTTTGGAAGGATACGTGTGTCCCGTCGTATTTATATTTTAATGAGATAAAATCCCTTTTCTTGTTAACTCCTTTTCCTCGTATTACAGTTCCTCGTTTTTTCTGTCCATACTTCCTTTTGTACATTCTTTTTCTTCCTTGTTAATGGCTCCTGCTTGATGTATTTTTATTTCGTCTTTCCTTTTTTTAGGTTTTGTGTTTATTTTTTGCTTTCCTTTTCTGGTTTTACTGGGTTTTACGAAGTTTTTGATTTCTTATGAAGGCATTTAAATATGATAGATATTTTTTATCATATTTATATCATTAAGAACGCTGAAGTTTAAACCACGAGTTCTTTTTCATGTAAAGCAGAATTTTTTAAGTGGAAGGGGGGGGGGGGGGGTGTTTTAAAATAAACATCTAGAATTCCTTGACTATGCCTCTAAGTTTATGTTTGAATATCGATTTTCTCGATTTTTTCATAAAATTCCCAGCAAAATCCAGAAATTTCTGATGACGAAGGGGGATTTGTCCTCAAAATTCCCTCCTCCCTGTGTACGCACGTGGTTGGAGTGCTAGGTTTGAATTGAATAGAAGTAGTTTACTCCATGGAAATAAGCCAGTTACTATGACGGTGTTTCTAGAATTTTTAAAATTAAATTTTCAATATTATGGAAATTCAATTGTGAATAATTCTCAAGAAAAAAAAAAAACTCATTCATCATTTAAGTAAAGCAATGCTGATGTATTTGTGTGATAAGGAAATTTAATCCCTGACACATCTGTTATTAATCAAACGAACAATTCATGAGCAAAAATATCCTGTGAAAATAAGAATAGAGAAAATTTTACAAATGTTAAGAAGAGAATTTTTATATAAAATGAAGGATTTGAGGATGGAGACATAAAGTGTACATAGAAAATGAATTTAGGAAGTAGGAAATGATGTTTAGACAGATGTTTTATTAAAATATGTATGAGTAATTTTTTGACAAAAATTTTGCAGGCTTAGATTTTCCATATTTTATAGGACATTTTAGTAATTTTTAAGGCACATTCTGTTCCTGTTTCTTCTCTTCCTTTTACTTCCTAAAAAAATACATTATGCTCATGTTAAATTATTTTTATTGTTATTGTGACATTAAGATCCATATCATAATCATACATATACATACACACGCACATAATACTCTACTGTAAATATCTACATCGCCCTCATCGTTAAAGTCGTTAACGTTCCTTCAATTAATGACATAGTAAATTACACACATTTCCGTCTCCCTTATTCTATTGCTGGCTTTTTTCTTTCCTTTCATTTGACTTTTTCTTTTCTTATTTCTTATTTCTAAAGCTAAAAAAATTATTTTTCATTCCTGCTGTCAAGACAGAAATAATCATTAAAGTATTTAGGATAGAATGTGAAACGCAATAGAAATGAAATCAATGGAGCAGCAGTTTGGAGTGAATTTTGTATTACAGGCGCATTTTTTCTCGTGAAATTATTGCAAGCTTATTGTATTTACTTTTAGTTAAAAAGTAAGGTTAGAAATATAAGTTAAATACTATGAAACTAGTCTCATATTGACCTCTTGCATCTTCTTCTTTCTGTGTACAAATAATTTATTTCTGCATGGTGGTGTACAGGCGCGTAGCCAGGGGGGGGGGGGGGAGATTTTGTGGAGAAATCCCCCAACGTAAAAAGAAATTTCTTTATTTTGCTAGAGTTTTTATGAAAAAACCAAAAAAATCCCCACCGCCCCCTTAAATTTTTCTATACAAAAAAAATTTTTGTCTCCCCCTCTTCAAATTCCTGGCTACGTCCCTGGTGGTGTCGAAGGGTGTGAAACTGTTAAATTACATTTTGATAATTTGTGATCATTTCATCAGTTCCGCACTCTTAGTGTTGTCATCAAGTGTGTTGCTGAATTAGGTTATCTTCTGAAAAAGACATGATCAATGTACATCCTTAAGGATCCGATCGAACATTTCCGAGAGTAAAATTTTCAAAGCTAGGCCGCATTTCATCAACATTTAATTGCTAAAGTAATTTATAAGCACTCATTCCTGTTTCTCAAACAGTACGCTTCAGTTTCTAAACTGTTCTAGAAATCCAGAACTTAACATTGTTTCAATTTCGTATGTGAGATGATTTAAACATCAGAAATAGCTCAAACTTTGTAAATTACAGGATTTGAACCAACGACTTTTGAATTATCACAAGAAACTTGAGCCAAACTTCTTGCCGATTGATCAATAAAGGTTCTCAACTGCTTCTGGATTAAAGACTATGCCTTTAACCAAATATTTGATTTTTATAAATCTTTTTAAACCAGACTGAACTACATACTCTCATGTAGCAAAACAATTCCAACCAAATCCGAATTCGCTTTTGTGACAAACTGTCGCAAATTCTACAAAAACTAGTACCAACAATCCAGCAATCCAAAAGTAATAATTTAAAAAAAAGCAGCAGTCCAACTCAATTTCTTTCCATTTCCAAAATGTATTTTCATTTTAACTTTAAGACTATTAGAAGTTGAAGAGGAGAGAATTTAATACATAGATTGTGGAAGCCACTAAAGGATAATTGGACCCTTTTTGCACAATAAATATGTGTTCTGCTTCCGGTCACTTTCACGCATCTATCCCGCAATTGGTTATACTCGTTTTTTGCTCTATTTAAGCAGCTTTGAAGCTCTCTCCTGTCGATAATTTTCATTCTTCTTCTGCCTGCTTCCACATTTTCATGTTACTTATATTGTATTTCTTATTACTATGGGGCCGTTTACTTATGACGTCCATCAAAAACCTAATTTTTAAAAAACCCTCTGTCTCAAAAGTGCCCCAGTTGTCAATACTCCCCCCCCCCCCTCCCACTGTGACGTCCAATTAAAGACACAAAAAATTTATAATTTCGTCAATAAAAAATTTAATGTCATAAATTTTCTGACCCCTTCCCTCCCCTGTCACAATGTGTCACAATTTTTTGACCCCCTCCCCCCTGAATGTTGGACGTCATGAGTGAACAATCCCTCACACTCCACTAAACACTGAAAACATTTCCATTCGACTTTACACTACATTCCATTAATGTATTTTTACTTTTTTTGTGTGTGAGCGCCCTCAAGGGACCTTCGATTCTGTTCGATAAAAACTTTACTTTTTTTTTTGTTACAATTTCTTCATGCTATAAATGTGTGTAGCTCATGGGCTACTACTCGATTAATGGTGCATGATTTTCTCGAGTAAATTCTTTCTTTTTTTTGTGCTCTATTTCTTACCGATAACCAGCATCATGCAAACTCACGCTATTGTTATATACATGCATCTCTTCCCCACAAATCATAAGTTTTTTTTTTGTTTTGGTGTGGGTTTGTTTGACATTTTCCACAATATTTTATTTTTTGCTCTCCCCTCATTTCGATAATGAGCAAAAAATTTATATTTTTGTGATATGAAAAATGAAGAAAAGTTTGTTTTAGGGTTGAAAAATTATGATTCCATTGCATGTGGTAATGAGGAGAGGAAAGAATGATTAATTATGGCATATAATTTAAAATTTCTCGATATGAATTAATTTATATAGTTTTGTGGGAGCTGTGAGCTATTAAAAAGTTTTGTGTTTTATAGTTTTTTTGATGTTAAAATTGTTTTTAATGAGAAGCATTTTGGGGAGGTATTTAATGTCGTAGAGTGTTACATGCTTAACATAAAAAAGAATATCAAACTTTTTTAAAAAAATAATTTTTTTTGGCTCCACATTAAAGTCAATTCCATGAGCATTGAGTGTAAATCTATGTCATTTCGAGAGTTTAGCCTTCTTTTAGCGCCAGTAGACTCAAATGCATATAGCTCGACACCCCAAATACCACTCTGCTACAATACAGTGGGGGAAATAATTATAGGCGAATTGATATTTTCAAAATTCTCGAAAATATAAACATTTTCAGAAAATATGTTCTATGTGAAATTTGTGCAGCTTAATATGACGAATATCCCAGCGAAAAATTTTTTTAATTATATTAACTAGAAAAAAAATAACGGCCATTTTTTGAAAAATATTCGTTTCGCAAGTGGAAATAATTATAGGCGAATTTTGAAAAAAATTGTAAAATTTTACTTTAAACTTGAAATTCACTTGAATTTTCAATTGATTAAGTTATTTAAGCATTGTATTAATCTAATTTGACATTATACGCACAATAATTAATGATTTAAATATATAAAATTTGGTCTTGAAATTAGGAAGAAATAAGATTGCAAAAATCAATGTTTTACGTCAATTGGCTACGATAACTCCTCGATTGCATATGAAATAATTAGATTTTATTGCAATTAACATAAACACAATAAAATTTTGGTGAAAACATAGTCAGAAAAAGTAAAAATAAAGAAAAATTTTAATCACATGGCCAATACAAAATGAGAAATTTTTAAAATTTTCACTCAAATGAAAGTTTTGGCTACAAACTAAGGATGATTTCTACTTGCTTTTATCATATCTATGTTTTAAAGAAGATATTAAAAAGATTGAACAAGATATATTTGCAAAAAAACGCAATTTACGAATAAGCGCATGATTATAAAATTCTCGTTTAATGCAAGCTTTTAAATTCTTGTTAAAATGATCCTAATAACACTCAAAACTATCAGTTATTACATAATTTGTCTATTATAATAACTAAATGTCTCTTTTCATCATTTACTTGCGGATACTATAACTTTTTTTTAACAAATTATGATTTTGCAAGGTCATGTGTTCCAGTTGACCAAAGTTTTTACAATTTTTGCAAATATATCTTGTTCAATCTTTTTAATATCTTCTTTAAAACATAGATATGATAAAAGCAAGTAGAAATCATCCTTAGTTTGTAGCCAAAACTTTCATTTGAGTGAAAATTTTAAAAATTTCTCATTTTGTATTGGCCATGTGATTAAAATTTTTCTTTATTTTTACTTTTTCTGACTATGTTTTCACCAAAATTTTATTGAGCTATGTTAATTGCAATAAAATCTAATTATTTCATATGCAATCGAGGAGTTATCGTTGCCAAATTGACGTAAAACATTGATTTTTGCAATCTTATTCCTTCCTAATTTCGAGACCAAATTTTATATATTTAAATCATTAATTATTGTGCGTATAATGTCAAATTAGATTAATACAATGCTTAAATAACTTAATCAATTGAAAATTCAAGTGAATTTCAAGTTTAAAGTAAAATTCTACAATTTTTTTCAAAATTCGCCTATAATTATTTCCACTTGCGAAACGAATATTTTTCAAAAAATGGCCGTTATTTTTTTTTCTAGTTAATATAATTAAAAATTTTTTCGCTGGGATATTTGTCATATTAAGCTGCACAAATTTCACATAGAACATATTTTCTGAAAATGTTTATATTTTCGAGAATTTTGAAAATATCAATTCGCCTATAATTATTTCCCCCACTGTACCACATTCCAAAATCGTTTTCTTTAACATCAACTTAAGCTAGTCATTAGCTTCAACAGAAAACAATTAAATTTTATTTATGGACTAAAGTCGACTATTTTCCTTGTTATATCAAATTAAAGTCTTGATTGAGGCACGCATTTCTAAATCCGACTGTAAAAAAAAATCATTAATGTAAATCCACGGTGAATGAACTGCGAATTTGAGTGCTTTGATGGAACGATAAATTTTTATTAATAGCTTGAAGACTGAGACGTCTGAATTAAATTATTATTACTAATCAGGTGGATCTAAAAACTAAAAGAATTAAGACGCTATAAATTCAGAATTAAAACAATTCTCATAAATTTCATTCTATGAGCCAGACATCCAGCACAGTTCTCACACAAATATCATCTTTTAAGGATTTCATGTCTTTCTCAAAAAAATAAGTCGACATTAAGCTCATAAAAATCTTAGCACAATTTACTTTCTTTTAAACAAGACTCATTCGTCATAATACAGAAAATGCGATTCGACCCGTATCTATGTTCTGCATCCATTTCATCATCTCTGGTTTTATTTCGTTCCTTTTGTGACAATTTCTGTTCCTTTTGCTGGAGAGATGAAGAGTAATGTAGGAAATCTCAAAAGAAAATTTATTGCGATTTTAAGTTTCGTCCTTGTGGAGGTTTTTGTCAGGATTTTGGGCTATGAGTTAGATATTGAGAGAAAGGGGGGGGGGGGGGGGGGGTGGATTTTTGTATGCTTGGATAGCTAGGAACCTTCTTTTAGCTTTAGGATCGGATACGAATTTAAAGTCCCAAACCTACACTTCTTGTCTACACGTTGACAGCACAACATATAAAACTACAAAAAACCTGCAAAAATTGATCCTAAGCTCATTCAGTCCTCTTGATGTGAATCATTATCCCTTCTATTTAAAGAAAACAGACACAAAAGAAGACAAGACACGACAAAATGAATAAAATGAGGAAAAAATTTCATTTGACGACATCATCATCATCATCTTTGTGGAGCATTTATCGTCGCTTGCAAAAACGAAGCAATGTCAATGTCATAATGAAGAGACATAGAAGAGAGATGAAATATTTGTCATTTGTGTCTAAGGCTCTTTTTGCCTTTTATCGTCATAATCTTCATCTCTTTTCCACTTCCTCTTCCTTTTCATGTTGTTTATTCTCGTCATTTTGATTGCTTTCATTCTCATTTATATTTTTATTTTATTCTGCTTTATAGATCATTTAAAGACGGTTTGTCTGCGACCAACATGCATGTATGGTGAGGAGGACAATCACTTTTTTACGAAAATTTTGAAATTTGCTGACAAATGGAACGGAAAGATCCCAAGATTAGCTGAAGGTGGGAAGAAGCAGTGCACTTATGTCGGTAAGGATTGATTTTCGTTTTTTGAATCTATGTTCAAGGTTGATGGATCACTAAGAAGGGTTACAACATGATGAAAAATTTTGCAGCAATTTAACGTCAACCCATCGTGATGTTATCCCCTTTTAGATTCCACAAGAGTTAAATAACGAAATTTAAATCAAATCATTTGGTATCTAAAAAGATACGAAAGGAACTGTACAAAACCCACAAAAATTCAAAGCCATTAAAAGCCAACACATCATAATGACCGGACATTTCTTTTTGCTGTCATCATCATTGCTCCCATTATCATTTGCACACATATGGTTCAATTCTCCATTTCTATGATGATTATGATATGGCTATAAGTTGCAGAGCCATACAAATATCAAAATGAGCTTAAAAACTTTCTCTAGCTCAAGATAACAAGTCAAATTTTTTGACAATAAAAACTAAGAATGTGTAAAAATTTTATGCTCAATGTCCTTCTCGATAACCTCATATCATATTGTATGATTTTTATATGTATCATATCGTATGTCACATACGATGCTGACATGTGAAAGGAGAGAATAGAACGAGAAATTCATCTCTCGTAAGGGACTGTCCGTCAGTAGAAATATGATTTTATATTTGAAATATGTTCACACATATGTAACAGAGATGTATACCTGAAACTGAATCATGATAAATGACAGGAATCTTCACTTTGAACCTTTTTTATTATCTACGAATTTTCGATGCCTTTTAGCAAAGATTTTTGGGGTTACACTCGATTTGATGAGCAGTTTGACGAAGAAACAAGCAATGCAATTACTTTGACTGTTTTGTGTCTTTTTGGTTTTGGTTAATTCACAATTTTCATCATTTTTGAACAGCTCAGTATGCATTATAGCCCGAGTAAAACAAATACTGAGTCCATTTGAACCTTGGAGCCAGATTATAGTGAAATTTGGGATACCCAAGTCGCAATCTAGTCACAATCTAGAAGATTAGAGTGATCTCCTTATACAACCTCAATTTAAACTTTAAAATGCGCTTTTGTCATTAATTTAAAATAACTTATTAACTCTTTATCCTATGCTTTTATATTTCATATCAAAAAATTCTTCAACATTGCTTTTGCTGCTGTTTCTGTCACTGAATTCGTTATCTACATAAATAAATCTTCAATAATAATGATGACACACACACGCACACCAGGCAATGCGGCATGGGCCCATCTCTGTGCAAAAGATAAACTCAAAAATGAGCCAAAGAGCATAGCCGGAATGCCAATTTTTATAACTGATGACACACCAGTCACTGATGCGGTGAGATTGGCACAACGTATCAATGCTGATATGGAAGCATTTAAGATTAAACCCACATCATGGTCGATTCCGTTCGTAATTTGCTTCATCATCGTCATGTTTATGGAAATGTTTGTTAAATTTATGAATCTATTCACAAAATATCAAGTCAAATATTGTCCACGTGGAATGTTCGCATATGCATCATCATTCGTACTCCTTGATCGCTTACGTAGCTCAACTGCACTTGAGTATGATCCGATTTATAGCGTTAACGAAGGATTTTCGAGAAGTGGAAAGTGGTACGATTTGTGGATTCAACGATACAAGGATAAAAATCTTAAAAAACACAAACAACAACAGCAGCAATTGAGAGAGCATGAAAGCTCTTAGAAGGGATCATCTCTATTATGGTTGAGTGGAGATATTGAAAGAAGAAAATATGATTATGATGAGAATGATAAAAAAATATTGTGAAAGAAGATAATAACAGTGGATTTGAAAAATATATAAATGTAATAAAATTAAGGCGAGGTTTATGAACTATTTTGATGATTTTTGTAAATTTTATGATTGATTTGAATTTTTTTTGTACAAACATTTTTGAAAAATGTTGCAATAATTTTATAAACGTTTAATACATATGATAAATTGAATTTTCTTGGTCATTCATAAATGATGTCTATTTTAAACTTAGATTTTGAATTCTTAATCCTTCCTTCGTTACAAAATGTTCAATTCAAAGAAAACGATTTTTTAGATTTGTTACACAGAACTAGACTCCTCCTCTCTACAAAAAAATGGACGTCATTTAAGAAAAACCCCAAAAATGGTTTTAAAATAAATAATTTTATTAGCTTTTTCAGATTTTTTGCTCATTTCACTTAATAATTATTTTTACAGATTGAATTGATTTTGTCACAGCATATCATGCAATTGATGCCCTATTTGATAAGTATGGCTAAATTGAAGGAGCTGAACAGGTCGGAACACTCCATTTAATTTTTGTAAGGTCTGAATTGATCAATTTCAGCGTTAATTAATTTCAATACAAATTTAAAACTCAAAATTACCTTTAAGCTCTACAAACTGTATGCGAACCTGCTTACAGGTCAGAACACTCCATTTAATTTTTGTAAGGTCTGAATAGATCAATTTCAGCGTTAAATAATTTTAAAACAAACTTAATTACCTTTAAGCTCTACAAACTGTATGCGTGCCTGCTTACAGGTCGGAACACTCCATTTAATTTTTGTAAGGTCTGAATTGATCAATTTCAGCGTTAATTAATTTCAAAACAATCTTAAAACTCAAAATTACCTTTAAGCTCTACAAACTGTATGCGAACCTGCTTACAAAAAACCACATATCAATACACACATCAAATGATAAAAAAAATTATATCCTGCATAAAAAAGCAAAAGTGGCATGTGAGATGGGATTGTAAATGGAATCAGAAACGATGAGCCTTTAAAAAGAAGAAGGAATTGGTTAAGATGTTAAAGAGAATACGGTTCATTGGTATCGAAATTCGATAAATTTTTGTTTCTTTTTTCCGCTCGCTTTTTTGCGTTCTGTAAACGGCAGTCGAGAAAGAGTTTTTCTTCCACTTCCAGTCTGAAATTCAATGGAGAATAATTTCTTTTGGCAGTAACAAAAAGAGAATCTAGAGAGGAAGGAGGAAGAAAAAAAGTAAAATTATGGCATATCTTTTTCTCATTTCTGATGTTGCCTTTTTTCCATTTCAAATGGTATTTTGATATTATTGGCGTTTTTTTCCTCCTTTATGTGATTTTTCTTCTGCTTGTTTTTTCTATTTTTGTTCTAGCTGAAGTTTTTTTAAGATGGTGGGTTGAGTGTGCAGTCGATTTTGGCTGTTTTTGCATTGGTTTATTAAGTCCTAAACATTTAAGTAGTTTGTATCTTAACTTTTGATAATCCGATGACAATGATTTTATCGATAAGATGCAGCTTAGTTTTTGGGTCGAAAACCGAGTTGGATGAAAAATTGAAGATATCGTCGCATTCAACCTGGAATCTATCCATAGTGACTCAAAAAACTCAAAACGGCAAGAGCATATATATGCGCATTATAACAACATTCACAACAAACTATTCAATTCTTTTTTGGTGGCGAATAAATAAAACTCATAGACGAAAGCAAAAAGAAGAAAAATTTGCATCCAAGAGAAAATAAAATAAAAGGAAAATGAAACCTTCAGGGGGTAGGCAAAGTGGAAATCTATAAGAAAAATTCGATGAAATAAATATATCAAAATATTTTATATTTAGCTGCGTATCGTTTGTATGTGTAGATTTAACACCCTATAAAAGGGGCGTAGCCAGGAATTTTAAGAGGGGGAACAAATTTTTTTTGTATGGAAAACTTTTAGGGGGGGGTTCGAGTTTTTCTTAAAACTCTAGCAAAATGAAGAAATTTCTCAAGACGAAGGGGGATTTGCCCCCCAAATAATCCCACCCCTGGCTACGCGCCTGCCCTATACATAATATTACAACGGATATATTGATTTTATTCAAATATTTTATTATTTTTTAAAATTATTATAGTTTTATAAATGCAAAAAAATGAAAGTGATAAAAAAGTAATTAAATGCAGGAGAGTCTAAAATTTAAAAAGCTCTCAACTGTTTCTAAATCCTTTTTTTCTTAACACATTTTTCAATTATGTCTGCCACAATTTCAGGTTTTGATATCCATTCATCGCTAAACTCAATTTTCGGATACTTTTTTTTAATTTCATCAAAAGCAGTTGACATCAATTCCAATTCAGAATGTTTGTTTGCTTCTTTAAAAACATCAAATGCATTATCTGGATTGATTGAATGTATAATTTTTCCGATAGCAAATTCTTTTAATGGCTTAATACCATATTTAATAGCACCAGCAAGTAAATTAAAATAATCAACTTCATTATCAGGAAATTTCTCGGTGTACATAAATTTAATAGCGATGTCAACGATATCAAATGGAATTTCATCTTCAATTAATTCATGTAAACAATTGTTGCTTAAAAGATTATAGAAATATGGACTTCGAGCAGCAAGAACTAATCGATGCGCAGAAATTTCTTGTTTTTCAATTTTTATTTTAAAATCTTTTAAACTATCGTTTTTAATAATTTTCACTAAATCTTCACTCAATTTCTTGTTTTTCGAATTAATTGGATTAAATTTTCGACTATATTGTGCTACTTTTAATGGATTACTTAAGTGCACATTCCAAATTTCATCTTTAACATCTTCAATCGTCGATGCATTCAAACAATCTTCTTTACGAATTGAATAGCAAATATTATACTCAGGATTCCATCTAAAGTCAACATTTTCAAGCTTATCAAGGCCAAAAAAAATGTTAGGCTCAATATATTTTAACTCATTCTTAAAAAATGAAATCGATTTTAAATTTTTGAAATTTTCAAACAAATTATCAGGTAAAAATCGTAAATTATTTTCTATAAATGAAAGTCTTTCTAAATTGTGATACTCAGCTAAATCATTTTTGTTGATTTCTATTAAATTTGATTTGTAAATTTGAAGCTTTTTCAAATTAGGAAATAATGCTGTGAATCCTTTTGGTATTTTCTCAAGATTACAGTTACTAAACATTATAAAATCGATATCTTCGTTTGTTTTTCCAGCTAAATGTTCTCCAATTAGTTCTAATCCTGTTGTAGTAAGGATTTGGTTTTCAACGAGACATCGATAGTATTCTTGACCAACAATGGTTGTGTATGATCCAAATGTACATTGAAGTTCCATTATTGAAAAAATATAAAATATTACGAATCTTATTGCACAAAAATTTAGTCAGCACTGCATAAAAGTTGTATCAATACTGCTCAATATATTGTGAAATTTTCAGCGGAAGTAAAGATAAGAAATGATTCATTAAGTGAAAGATAATTTCCATAACCCCTTTATCATATTTTTGATAAGATTTCTTTCCGTTTTAAATTAAACTTGCTTATATAATAAAGATAACAATATTGCGACTTATAATTCATATCTGATTGTTCGTTCGTTAGGCTGGCATGGAGTGTTTTCGTCACTTAATAACTTCTAATTTTGTAGGTTTTATAATTAAGTTCCAAATTCAGGGGTGAAGTCAAAAAAAGTTTTAATGGATAAGGGGAAGGGGTGGGGGGGGGGGGGGGGGGTTGAAGTGATTTTATTTTCTTTTGGATGAAGTTCTTTTTTTGAGATTTATCACATTAAAAGGCAAATTAAGTTAGAATTTCAGACCAAGGGAGCTAGATTGAACCCGCCCCCCCTTCCCCCCAAAAACGCTACATTTGTCAACGACTTAAATTTTATTTATTGGCAACCATTCATTCATCATTGAAAAATAGCAGCCATGAAGGAAATGATAAATATGTGTGCATCTATATGTTTGTGGGAGGAAGATAATTTTATGCTAGACCCATCACAGCACTATAAGGAAATAGATATTTGCTGAATTTGATCAACGATAAATCGGTTATCGAGATTCTTCCTTATTATGTCTGAAATATTTCCTTCTTCTTTTTAGTGTGGAAAACAAGGCAAGGAAATAGATGAGTGTGAGGATTTTACTTAAATATATCTTTGAAATATATTACTCATGAGACGTCATGAATACTTTTAACATTTTTGGAATAAGTAGAGAATTATGAGAAGAAAATTTCATGTTTGGGACAGGATTCATCCTTAAAGTAATTAAATTATCACTTTGTGTTGAACCTTTTCTCCCTTCCATGCTGTTTTTTGAGAGGGTTCACTCCATCATTATTAAATTTATTACAAATTCGCAATCTTTTTATTTCCTTTCATTTTCATGGTTGATTATTTATGTGTTTTAAATTTTTAAGAGGTTGTTCTGATTTTGATCGATGGACTAAACTTCTTGGTGAATGGAGGGGATTGACTTATGTTATTTAAGTGGTGTTATTTGACTTGTGGATTTATAAAACCTATCGCTACACTGATATGCTCCTGGTCTGAGAAATAATGAAAAACTAGTGATCTAGAAAAGTGAGCATTTTTGGGGCCATATTAAAAATATGACCCATGGAAGTCAATAGCCACAATCTTTAATATCTCATCAACGTTAAAACTTTTTTTCAACCCAAACTCGCTCAAAAAGTCAAGACATAATCAAAAGAGATAAAAAATTATAAACAATCCAGAAAAAGAATCCCTTCAATCAAAACCTAATCCTTAATTTATTCGATGAATTTATAAGCATTGGCAGCATTTTACATCTAAAGAACCTTATATAGCCATAAATGAATCAGGAAAAGAAGTAGAATAAAATAAAGGAAATCCCATAGAAGCAGAAAGAAATGAGGGAGGTTAAATCATTTATCTACAAGTGCATGAAGAATTGCGGCAATGAGCATTGCCTTGACTTTTGTAGCACGTTTTTATCATAGTCCATAATTACGACAGCAGCATCAACAGCACTTGAAGATTCTCTGTTTCCTTCCTTACTGAAATAGGGGATTGTAAATGATGAGATTCTTTCTGTATGTGAATTGGATATTAAAGGGGAGACGATGCTGTTCTGTTGTTCATTTAAAGTACTTGTTTTGCTTTTGACCCACTCCGTCCATCAACAAGAATGATTTTCTCTTTTCTTTTGTTATTAAAGCACACAATCCTATTATCTTGAACAAATGCAGAATATGATGAAAATGAACATTTTCCGTTTGTAATTTAAGGCAGCATGCAGCACTTTGAACTTTAAAACAAAAAAAAAATAAGATTTTTATAATGAAGGAAAAGTAAAGCATGGAGAGGGCCCAGGCTTTTTGAGCTGAAGGTACTTCGAATTAAATTATAACAGAATCTATTGAAGTACACCCATTAGACCTAAAGTTCATAGTGGAATCCGAACCACTAACAAGCTCTTCACATTGCAAAGACACGAGTACGTCTAAAGATCGTATGTCCCTTGCAATATACCTAGCCACAGTTCGTGTGCGCAAATTGCTAGTATGTCCTAGTATACCGTGCAAAACAGACACGTTATGTGCCGAAAACCTCAAAACTACACGCAACACACAAACCGAGCTTAATAACTATGGAAAAGAGTTTCTAAAACTTGACTTGGCGTGGGATTGAACCCAGAACCTTTGGCTAAATAAGCTAGATACTTACTAATTGGGTTGTCTTAAAATCTAGGAGCTAATGATCAATATTGAGCCTAGATTTTTGTGAATTCAAAGTTGTCAGATATGAAAACGCGTAACTGTATCCTAATAGCTTTATCCTTAACTTTGGACATCATCTTTAACTGAGCGTGGGCAAACAAAAGCACTAAAGGTTGTTTAGTCAAATGTGATTCATCTATGCCTCTGCTTAGACTCAGCCTAGTGTGGATCTGAGCAAATCCTTAATTGTTGAATAATTTCTACTAATAATACCCTAGTGCCTGTGATCTTTCCTAACCTAAAGTCAAATAACTACCCTAATTTATATTATGAATATGAAAAATTCTTTTAAAAAGGAAGCAGAGCATTTTTTACGAGTCAAAAAAGAAATCATTTTTTTACCCTTTCAAAAAGAAAAATTATTTCTTATTATTTCCTTTTTCTTTGCCTTTCTTTGTTATTTTTCTCAATTTAAAATAGCGAATAGTTTATTGAAAAACAAACATTTTCATCAGTAAATTCACATGCAATGGAAATAAATAGAAAGTACTTTTTTTTTGTGGGCAAAATTCTATTTTGTAAAAATTATAGAGAATGGAACTGACTGCTGCGGTGAAGGATCAATATGTATTGAATTTCAAAAACGGCATGGAAAAAATGGAATCAAAAAAATTTTTGGTTTATTTCAACTTTTTTTTAACAAAACAAGAAAAAAATATATAAAAACCTTTATAGAGTTTCATGTTGTTTGCTACAATATGATGAAGAGTAGCTATGCGATTTTATGAAATTAAAAAATTCACAGAGATTTGTAGTTTTTTAAAAAAGAGAAATTGAGTTCTTAAAGAATTATTCACCATAATTTCTTTTGAACTGATTCAATCTAGTGCAAATCATTGAAAAACCCGAAAAACCATTTTTTTTGGAAAACAACAAATCTGATTTAATAAATTTTTCAAATATTTTTAAAAGTGTCTTGATAGCTCAGTTGGCAAGGTACAGGTCACAAAAGTTGGTGTTGAATTGGACTCCCGAGTTCGAGAAGTTTAGATACTTCGAAGATTTAGGCGATGTGAGATTTAGGAACGGGTCAAGAATTATGTAGACAGAATGAGAAAGATACGAGAGCCGTAAATTCACCATGGAAGGCTTTTACTGGAACGGACCTGGAGACACTCCGACCTTCAAAAAATTGGAACGATATCCGACATTCTAAAAACTGTTTTTAATTGGCTGCTGGACACACAACTGCTTAGTGAAGATTATGCGCTACACACTGAGCTAACGTACATCATAAAGATTTAAGAATTATTAATGTTATGCTTAAAGATTTAGTAACAATGTTGCACAATTTAAGATGAATAAATTGAATTCTACCTAAAAAAATCTAATGTCAAAATCCCAACATTTCTAATCCATTGCTTCCAAACAGTAAACCACACATGCAAATCCAAATAAATAACAAAGTTTCAAAAACATTTCACCTGTCCTCGCAATATGTACACCATGTGTATGTGCTTTGCACACGCTAAAGTATACTTCACTTCTCTCGAACCTAACCTCCACTTGAATATCAACTTACCATCATTCCAGCACTCTCTTCTAACATGCCAATCCTATAAATGGATTTGAAAATGGAGAATGGGGAGCATGTAAAATAAAACAAAACAGAAAATCGCTGAAACAATCATTAATCATTCAATTTTTTTCGATTTATAATTCTTTTTCACATTTTTTTTGTGCCTCCTATTCTCCCTTTTTCATGCATTGCCTTTTGTTACTAAACATGTATCGAATGTTTTTGCTCCTTTTTTTCCAATGATGAAAAAATATTTTTTTTTTCGATAGCTTGGTAGTGGTTTGTGTGTGTATATGTAGGTGGAAATGTAGATTATGCTTGCTTTATATCAAAATGTTTTCTGGTTTTCAGCTATTTGATTTATTAACCACATCACTTGATCCTCGTTCAGTTACCTTCTCATTCAATGTATTTATGTATGCAGACTTGTGTGATTCCTTTCTTTATGTGACTGTAGTTTTGGAAATTTATTTTTTCAGATATCAATTTTGACAATTTTACTGATATTATTTTGGTGAAATGATAGGAAAAAAATGGAGTTTAGTATCTTTTATGTAGTTTGGGGATATGGATTAATAATTAAAAAATGAGGTTGTAATTTTTTGATAAGATTTAAGTATTTTCCACTTTCTGCTTTAAATTTGCATTAGACAATTGATTTTAAATTTATTTCCAAGAACACGACCCCCCTCCCCACCTCTTCCCTTACCTTCACATCAACATTTTCTATTTTCCCCAATCTGAAACAATTAAAAAGTTAGCACATTAATATTGAGGACATAAACATATTGTATGAATATTTAAATAATTTTCCAACACAAACTCATAATCCTCATCCCTATCAATAACAACATTACATACTCAATCACAATAGAAACCGAAAAATGAGCAACAAAAAGTTGGAAAGGATAATTTTCATAGAGGTCAAAATGTTAATCCAAAGTATTTACAATTCATGTATGTGTGTACACATGGCTTTGAGCAAAATAAACACGTGATTTGACGACATAAAGATTAACTTCGAATGTCTATGTTTATTGACCATTTATGAGCTGTTTGTTGTATTTGAGAATTATAAGGTAGACGGTTGGAATTAAAAGGGGTGTCCTGGAGTCAAATTTCAAATTCAATGTTTTATGGATTAAATAAATTATGACTTCTTTTATTGATCTTTAAGACAGCTGAAAGTTTAATTATTATTATTATTATTATTATTATTTTTATTATGGTCCGTATTAAAATGAAAGTTTAATTTGATATACGAATGAAGCTGATTTGGTGGCAAATATATTCAGCGTAGATAATAAGGGTTTGACAACTTTTGGATGGCTATGTTTAGATTTTTACGGAATATTAACAGAAATATAATTTGCTTCAATAATTATTTTCAAGAAAATTAGTGAATAAGTAAAGGAACTTCATCCTGTGAAATTATTTCTTGGCTCTATAATTTCGACTACATGCTGTCTGAAAATTTCCTCCAGCACTTTTCTTTTCCGATGCACTCATTCCACTCCAAACGGAAGAAAAATGACGTTGTTGTTGATGCCATGGATTAGATGATCCACTGGAACTTGAACGGACTGTGAATTAAAAAAAATTGCAAGACTTTACTTAAGAGTACTCCTGGAAAATGAAGTCTAATTCTAGTGCTACTCGGGGTTCTCTAGTCACAGTTAAATTTCAATTAAACTCCAGTGTGTTGGATATCAACTTTTAATGTTAAGGAAAGTTATAAGTCTAGTCCTAACATACATACCTGATGAAACTGATGGTGCACTGCTGTAAGACCTTGTTGGCTGTGAGAAACCTTCTGAATAGAGTGATGATGATCCATAATTAGGTGGACAGTAAGAAGATTGCATTGAGTTAGAAGCACTAAATCCCGATGACTGTTCATAGGTTCTAGACTTCAGTTTATCAATTGAACTGGTCATTTCACTGATTTTATCTTCCAGTTTTGAATTTTGGCTCTTTGTTTTAGTCAATGCTGATTCATACTTTGCTTTTTCGGATTCAATTATAGCTTCGAATTTTGATTTTTCGTTTGCCAGCTTTTCATTAAGACTTGTTACAGCTCTGGCCTTTTCTTCGACTTCTCTTTTAACTTTAATATTAAGCTCCTTGATTTTTTTGTCATTAGCTTCATTTTTAGAATGCTCGTTTGCCAATGTTTGAGTCATGTTACCAGCATAAGTTTTTAACTTTTCAATAGCTTTTTGATCACTCAAAAATTTGAGTTGAGTAGCTTTCCATTTTTTGTAATATGAATCAATCATGTCATTTAAATTATTTTGAGCATTCTCAATGCTGCTTGCATCACCGATTTTTCGGTCATTCTTAAAGTCTGAAACAGCTTGTTCCTTAGAACTTTTGGAGAATTCATCAATTTGAGCTTCCGATTCTGCTTTGTTCCCAATAGTCGCCAATTTTTCTTCATAAATTTTAAAAGCTTTTGCTACCAAAAAGTCTAAATCTTTCTCAACAAGCAGCTTGTACATTGTAAGAACCTTTGGAATGTCACTCGATGCAAAGTGCTTGAAATAAGTTTGAATATGAACGAAAAAATTTTCAGCACTCAATTCGCGTCCACAGACTTTTTTGGCTATCAAACTATCAGGATTCAATAAGCTTTCGACTGCATCGAATAACTCAAAACTGAAGTCTTCGTCCATTAATGACCATTGACCTTCATATCCCTTCCTACCAGCAACATTCTTTCCTGGATGTGGAAGCAAATGGCAAGCTAGTTTCTCACACGAATTTGATAAAAATTCACGAACAGAATTCAGTTCATCATTTTTATTCTCTTTGAGCTTGAAGACATGATTCAAGTACTTATATCCACCAACTTCTCCAAACTCATAATCGTCAGGATTCTGCCAATCACGAACCAGAAACACAAGCTTCTGAAATTCTTTTGAATCAATTCCGTCCTTTCTTGCCAATTTACCGAACTCCATTGCAAATTGAAAATAATCCAGCTCATCCTCACGAATATTTCCATTCAGATTGATCACTTGGATTGACGAAATCAAGCTGCTGAGTGCAAATATTTGTGAATTTTCCATTAGCGTCGTTTCATTGTCAAATAAGCCTTGCGTGTCAACAACAAAAATTGCAAATTTTTCATTCAAACTGTTGGTGTGCAAAAATACATCAGACCAGAAGATAATGCCAGTTGTATCACGTTCAGCACCTGAACGCCACGAAAAGCCACTAAGTTTATCATTTTTATGACCCATCCAGTTTATATCTTTTTTGAAATTTGCGTCTTTTCGATTGAGTGAGTCGTACTGTTGGGAAGTTGTAAAAAATGTTTGAATTATTTCATGCATGCATGTTTACACTACTACGCTCGGGGATCTTGACAAAAGTTATTTTAAAAGGGGAGAGAAGGGGACGAGGTACAGAAGGAGAACAGTTTAATTAAAGAAAAATCTTTCACACACAGGAAATAATTACGTTGGTCGTTTTCTGTGAAACTTAATATATAAAACAATAATTTTAAAAGATACTTACATTTGCATACAAATAACGAAGACAATAATCCAGGAAGAAGCTCTTGCCTCTTCGAAACGATCCAACGATTGAGAAGACAATGACTTTCCGGTCTTTGACTTTTTCATGCAAAAAAAGATTCTTTAACATGTTGCTATCATCTTTGAATGATTTCTCATCTTGATTAAATTTGAAGATTGTCCACGGCTTTCCAAACTCTTTAACGTCCATTTCTATATTATTGACCTTGTAGTACTTTTTTAATGCTTTCTCTATAATGATGGAACAGAAAATGAAACAAAATCAAGTGAAGCGATAATATTTATAAAGCACTTGCTGATTTCATTAAGGAGTGTTTTTTATTTGCTTGTGTGATTTGAAATTGTATAAGTTGATTATCAGCTAACAACAGAGGCGTGTCTAGAATTGTTTTATTAAGGGGCTAAATATTTTTGATTTACTCAACAGTGACATAGACAGAACTTCAATATAATGAGGGGGGGGGTTGTAGAATTTTTATCCTCAGCTATACCATTCTTTAGTATTAAATATTAAAGTCCTTAGTCCCCTAGTTTGCTTTTGAAGTAGGAGACTCAAGCCGCAGTAAGATTCATTCCTACGGTCCTGTCTAATACATAAATTGAATAGAATAGATTTTATTGCTTACTATTTACATCATCTATATAGATAATTACAAAAAGTTTCCACGAATTATACATACAATAGTGACAAATCAGTAAAATTCCTAGCTTTACAATGTTGCTTATTTCTAAACATTTTGAAACTATGTAGTGAAATGTGCACTGTACGTTAATCTTCTATTGAACTGAGCTGAAGTGGCTCGGTGGCGGAATGGTTTAGTATTTCGGTACCTATTTATTGCAATACCGACACAGCGATCATGGGTTCGAGATTGGATATGAGAATTTTTTTACTTGTTCTTTTTCGAATCATATGTACTGGAAATGAGGCTCATAGCCCTCCTTTGTAGGCTACAGGCAGAAATGTCATCAGAGGAGTGGTTCGGATCCCACTATAAATTCTAATCCTCACACATTAAACTCTCATTAGCTGCGAATCACCCTAGCGCTCTGGGTCACAATTGATCTGAATAGGTAAAGGTTTTTTTTAAATGAATAATCCCCAAAACTCAGTGCGAAATCCACTTCCCATTGTTATCAACTCGATAAGAATTTCGCGATTTCGATAATTTACTTCCGACTTACTTGATGTTAAAAGCTAGTATAGCCAGTTTTAATTGATAAGATATCGATTATCACAATAGCTATATTTTTATCAAAATTCAGTGGAAATATGTTTGGCAGGCCGGAAGAAATTTAATCAAATATCAATTTCGCTCATTAAATATCGTTTAAGTATCGACCAAAAAATCATTACTCATTTCTCTTTCTAAATGCTTTCAGATGTGCTGATCTTTAAGCGAGATTTTATGATTTACATATTTTCATACTTTTTGCCTAAATTCATCAATAATAGGAGGTGAAATATTCATAAAGATTTGCTAAAATACTTACAGCATGCTTTCTGATTTTAATAAAAGGCATCGGCATAGCAAGACTTCAAGCTCTGTAAATTTAAAATGTTTGATGATCTTACTTGTTCAAAAGTTTAATTCCCACAAAGCTCATACTCATGATCCATACTTTAATAAACAAGTAATCATCAACATCCCTCTCAATCCACTACCGAGTAGGAAAAAAAACCATTGTGTCATTCACCAAAATATATACAGTCAGTTCGAGAAAGATAATTATTATACACATAGATCCACAAAAGCGCAAGCAAGCAGGCAGGCTTGAGTGAATGAAGTGGATGTTGTGGTAAACAAATTTGAATTTGATGAGATATTTTTTCCCTCCTTTTCTATCTGCTAGTCCTCCCTTATTTTCGTAGAGTATAAAAAAAACAGCTTCATAATGCTAGAAAATTTAGAGATTTTCACAAATGGTGAAATCGTATAGAACGTAGCGAGTGTGGAAAAAAGGTTTTTCGGGTTTATTGTGAGTGATAATATAAATTGAAAAACCATATTCACATGCATGCAGTGGTAATTTACATTTTAAGTGATTTTAATCGATTTGCGATGCGGAGGAAAAAAAACTTTTTTTTTTTATCTTTTCCCAAAAGTTTTCAAGCTTACTTCATCCAAATGAAAAATTCTATAGAACAGCAAATCTATTAAGGGGGATTGTGCGATTGGTGGAGGGAATAATGACTCTATTTTGGGGTTCTATATGCTTTTCAGTAGAGTTTCGTAAGGATTTAAAAGTACTAAATCACATCACTTAATACACATTCACAGGGGCGTAGCCAGTAATATGAAGAGGGGGGGGGGGGAACTTATATGGAAAATTCAGAGGGAAGGGGGGGGGGGGGGATTTTTTACGATTTTTTTTCATAAAACTCCTAGCAAAATGAAGAAATTTCTGTTAACGTCGGGGGATTTGTGCCCCATACCCCCCCCCCCCCCCCCCCCCCCCCCCCCTGATTACGCACCTGCTTTATCATAGTTTCTCAAAAAAGTCCAATTCAAGTGTTTAGTATATGATGAATCCATTAAACAGACCCATCCAACCATAGACACTAGTCTTAACTTTTAGGAACCATCAATTCGAGTTGAATTTCCCCTAATTTCATCAGAACACTACATTCACTCAACTGAAGTGTGTGAAGTGAAATGGCTTATGGCACTTTACTTAAATGTATCCTATTAATACACTTTTAAGCTACAAAAATTTTCAATTACTGTGCATTTTGCAAATGAGTGTGATGAGTGCGAGAGCGAGAGTAGATAGAGGCACAAAAAATAAAAAGCTTTAACATAAAAAGCCATCAATTTTCAGTTATCACAAAATTGTTAGTTCAACCGTAATGGCCAATATATATGCAGTATGCAGATGCATCTACGTTGTGGTAGATAGACAGGCAGGTGATATTACTTTTCAATTATACATTAAGTTTTTCTGACAAAATTATTTTCGCGCGTTTCAAAACTAAATACATGGACGTGCACAGATGCTAGATTTTCATATGTGTGTATTTAAAGAAGTGCATTTTCTGGTAATCCTGTATTTTAGTAGGTTTAGGTGGATGAGTGGATATTGTGTATTCACATTGAGAGGGATTTTATGTCAATTTGTGTTTGTGCAGTTGCAGATTTTGTGATTTTAGAGAGAGTTGAAATTAGGAAATGATGTAGAAATCTCTTTTAATTGAAAACTTGTAGAGCTGTATTGCAGGCATGAAGAAGGATGGTCAGGTAGGGGGCTGATGAGGTCAATATCGCTTTTAACTGAAAAATTGCTCAAAAAATAATTGCTTAGGGTTAAAATAATTTTTTCTGAACCCCCTCCCCCATCTCAAAGTTACAGTATGTAGGATTGCCAATCCACATCTATAAGAAATTTCATTAACGAAAATTAAAGCTGAGATTTTTTTTATAAATGAATATATTTAAACAGACTTTATAAAAATAACACGGGGAGACCAACAAAATATACATAATAAAATCATTTCATACATCCACCAGCGGTTAAGCTACATGAAAAAAAAAATGTTTGCCTAGCTCTTGCTACATTTCCACCATATACAATGTACAAAGGACAACATGAATATTTTAAAAGTGCTATGAATTATTATTTTGTTAATAAAAATCTCTACCATTCACATCCTCCATTCAAAAAAAAATCTCCCATCACACACACAGACAGATGCAAAAAAGAATATTTTCACATGTTACAGGTATTTCTCGCTGTTGCACATTCCCATAAAAAATTTTTTATATTAACACGAAACTCATAAAGTATGCAAAGTATTTTTTACATCATAATTTTTTCAACTTGCTTGCTGTTGATGCTTGCCACGAATGTTGCATTCTCCCACTGGACTTGCAGCTTCCGTTCCAAAATAAAATTATTATTATTTTTATGGTTAACAACGGGATGATGATAAAGATAACAAAAATAAATGGTGGCAAGTAACGTCTGCCTTGCTATAAGTACATAAAAATTAATTTTATTGTCATCTCTTGTTGCTTCACCCACTTCCTTCATTTTCGTTGTCATTGCTCAAATTATAAGTAGCATAAGTTACATACTCATATATGTATGTGGATGAATGCGAGCAGACAACAACAGCAGTAAAGTGTTTCGATTCAAAAAATAAAAATAACTTCCTTTTGTAACTGTTGTCCATCGTCGAATTTGTTTGTTCCTTGGAATGTATTTCTTAAGGCAATGTTGAGGAGTTTGCAAATATTTTGTCTAGATTGTACAGTTCGAACTATGGATATAAGATATAAGACAGTGGTGGTCAACCTATTTACGCCTGGGCACACCTACAGCTTAAACCATGACAAGAACCGCACACATCATGCGGTTCGTGGGGTTTTCTGAAATGTTTCACGGCACATGGGTTAGCCATCACTGGCTAGCTAAGCCCCTTAAGCATGTGTGGTGAAGCAAATGACAGTCATGTGGACCTACTAGGAGCCTAAATTCAGACCCGTCTTATTTAATTCTCATCACGTAATCTGCAACTCCTCCAAAATGCGTCTCTAATATCCTTCAAATTCTTTACTTCCGATCAATCCTATTTCATGACTATACATAACCAAAAAATAGCAAAATAAAAATTCTGGCAATGTCAGTAAAAGAATAAAATAAGCAAAGAAACGAAATGGACATAAACGATGAAATGAGAAGTGTTGAAAGGCGAGAGAGCAGTAGTGGAAGAAGCGGCAATAACATACATTAAATATGATTTATATGATGTACAAGGACTATTTCATTATGATGAAAATTGGCAAAATAAGTGGCTTTATTTTTTCCGCCTTCTTTATCTTCTTCTTCCTTCGCTGCTTCTGCCTTATTATTGAGTCCAACGCATGTGAAATTTATTTATATTTTACCCTCCTCTTTTGTTTTGTAAATAGGAGCTTTCAACTTGACTGGAATTTTATTTTCTGTTATTTACAAAAGAATAAAAGCAGAATCAGGGGTGTAGGAACGGATTGGAGTGGACCTCAATGAGAAATTTCTTTAATTTGTCAGAAGTTTTATGAGAAAAAAACTAAAAGTTCGTAAAAATAAGAGGCAGTTCACTTAAGACGTCCGAAATTAACCGACATTTTTCAATAAGGGCTCGTTCACTTATGACGTCCAAAATTAACCGACATTTTTCAAAAATGAACAATGGATTTCCAGGAATTTCAATTGTTCTTTTCTTGCTGAACCCCCCCCCCCCCAAACGTCATAAGTGAATGGC